AGCACAAAAGTCCCATAGCTGGGAAGCCATAACCCTACACATCAGTCTGGGCTGGAGTCTAAGCATCTGGAAAGCAGCTTTGTAAAGAAGGACTTGGAACCCTGGAGGGCACCACTTGAAAAATAAACCAGCAGTATATATAAATAAATACCTGATGATGTCAGGGAATAAAAAATACAGAGACTCTTTTAATTGGTGCCCAGTGACAGGAAAAGGCACAACAGCCAGAAACTGAAATACAGGACTGAAACACAAGAAAAGCTTCTTTGCTCTTTAAGAATGGTCAAACCATAGAATGGGTTGCCCAGCAAAACAGGCTTTTTAGCTACTCAAAACTCAACTGAAAAAAATACTCAGCATCCTGCTCAGGCTAACACTGCTCTGACCTGTAGGCGTGACCTTGTCAATCTTCAGACATCCATAAAGATGTCCGTCCACAGAACCTCAAAAATTCTGTGATCCTCCAGTATTTTTGCTGCCAAACTCCTACATATCTTTCTAAACATTTCCATTCCATCTACCTTCCTTCCTCCTCCAAAGTTTTCCCGGAATTACCACATCATTTCCGATTGCATTCTCCCGCCTGCCTTCACTTTTATGTCCAAGACCTGGCCTAAATGATTGCTCTCTCCCACTCCAACTGCTCTCAATTTCATAATAATCCCAGTTGGACTGAAGTTGGACTGAAATTGCTATTCCCAAAAAAAGTTTCATCTGCTGACCAGAAATATCCTACCACTTAGACAAAAAGAAAAAAAAAAAAAGAAAAAAATTGTAAAGGGGTAATAAAACTAAATTTTTTTACACAGAATAATTTTCATTGAGTCAATGAAGAAAAAACAGAAATCTTATGCCTTTGCCAATGCTGTTACCCACACATGTTCTGTATCTGAAAAAAACCCAACCCTCTTCCTTTTCCTTCTACTCCATCCCTCAGTGTTTTCATTTCTTGTGATGCCTTTATCACTTGAACACGTTTATGTTACCACTCCTTTAAACACCTGCCTGTTACATTTACTGTGTCTATTCCTTAAGTTGTTTCTCATCTTATGTGAAACTGTAAGCTTTTTAGCACAGGCACCAGTATTTTGTTCTCTGACTGCACAGGGGTCTCTTAGCTGCTAAGGCTGTACTAGTGATAGATGATCTTGTCTGTGCCCTGGCCCAGATACACACTTTTTTTGCTCATCACATTTTCTGTCTGTTTTTAAGAGCTGTTCACTGCATTTAAGTACATAGGATTCAAGGTGCAGTGTATAACATTCAAAAGCAGCATTATAGACTTTGCCATACTGATGGTTCCTAATGACATGGCTTTTTTTCCCCTTTGAAAGGTCTATTCCTTCTTTTCCACTGATACCAAGTGATCTAACTCATACAGAATTCCTTACTGAATAAATAAACAAACAAACAAACAAATAAATAAAGGCAGCCCAAATCTTCAAGGCTTAATTTGTGATAATGTGGTCATGAAGTGTCCTGCTTAACATCACATAACTTTGGAAAAGATTAATATTTAGGCATATGCAACAACTAGAGGGACATAAATTTGCATATAATATTGGCAATTCAATCTATTTTCCAAAAATCCAAGTGCAGGAAAATTTCTTTAATGGACATGCATTTTAATTAGGGTGATAAAATGCACTCTATCTAAATATATTTTGACAAGTGCTCTAAAGTATCAGTCTTTACAGCCAAAGATATGAAGCAGTTTTTGAAAAAATTATACCTTCTCAGAAAGGAGGGACAATTTGCAAAGCTATCAGAGATGTTTAACAATTTACTGTCAGGGAATATGTATGCATGTGTGTTAAAATATAACAAAAATATTCACTTTTTATTGCCACACCTGAATTGGAGGATCAAGAAATACTGAAATCTGGTTTGTATAATGCCATAACGTATACTTCTCCTTGTAATGCTCACACTTTCTGTTTTTCTGTCCTGACTACCCATGTAACATGAAAATTGGTAAATACAGATGAAAGAAGTGTGTTAAATAGCAGAAATGATAAAAAAGTTCTCACATCTTGAGAATGGCATTGCCATTATACGACTGGCAACGTAACTCTTCATGATGTTTTACTGCTCCAAAGACTTCTTGAGTTCAAGCCTTCTAATAATTTGAAAAGTTGGTTAAAAGGGAATAAAAAAAATAATGACGTTCACAGAATGAGCAAAAAACCCTCATATTTTATGTTTTCTATTTAACATATAATTTAAACACCAGAAATCATGTGTGAGAGATTTTAAGGAGTTCGATTATATTGTGAGCTGCACAGTGTCAACAACACGTGCTGGTACCACATCCAACAAAATAGTTCCAGAATAAGAAATATAAATTACTGCTTTAGCACGTGAATTATTTTGTATACTATGTGATTTTTTTCACACTCCTTATTGCAAGCAGCACAGATTTCCTGATAACATTTTGTTTACTGTAGCTAAGGGTTCACAGAACCAGTGATCTGAAGTCCTGACCAATGTGCTGTGACTGACATGCAATTCAGCATTTAACCACTGCTGTAGATGATATATAAGAAGTGATATGTACACGACCCTATACTCAGTGGATTTGGGGTCAACTATTAATCTTCAGCAGACAGGTTTAAAATACCATAGAAAAATCTTTTGTTCCAAATGATCACAAGTACATGGACTTAGTAACTCTCATCTAGTTATGAAAGATAAATTTTTTAATTATATTCATTAGTACAACCATTCCCTGAGAACTGCATATTACTATCATGATGTTTAACTTTTACAGTGATAATATCCAAATGTAGAAACTCACACAGTGCAGTATTTTATGGACTTAAAAGTTCTATCAAGCAAAACAGGACATAAGAACAACCCGAAAGAAAATAAAATTCAATTTATGAAAATTTTGACTTGTTATAGTAGACAGAAAATTTCATCCTTTTGGCTACCCAATTTTTTTTCCCCTCACTGTGTATACATGCTTGACAAAGGATAATTTACAGCAAGGATCTTATTCTGTTGCCAGTCACATCAATGCTGACATGTAATAATTGCATCTGGATAGAACTACCTGCCTTTACTTTGAAGCTACTGGTTGGACACGGCTTTTGTCAGAAGTTGAATATGGCACCCAATATTTTAAGAAATATAAAGGTTTTTGGGTTTTTGTCAACATCAATATATGTCTTTTAGAACCCCATTAAGGCCAGGGTTTCTAACACAGAATAAATATATGTATACGTATATATTTATACATACACATATACAGGTACATACATACATGTACATACACATATTCCATGAAATGAATCCAGGAATTGGCAGCCACTGTGTAAAGCTAAAGAAACTCCAGCACAGGCCATTGCTTACATGTGCAGCTGGATTTCTGATATTTTTTTACTTATACTGATGTAAAACTGATTTGGACTACTGATCGTGGATACAGGTCAGTTCATATATCTTGTCAGGGATCTAATTCAAAATTTGATAGAAAATTTCAGATTGGTTTTAAGATGCTTTAGAAAATTTTTCAAACTTACACAGCATAAGACAAAAGGTTTTGAATAATACAGCTTAAAGCTTTAAAAGATCTTTCTTCAGTTATTTTCTTCAATCACTAGATCATATTTGGTAAAAAATAAGTCTATTCATCCTCCTTCTTCTTCTGAATATGTCAACAAGTAACAGCATAAGAAACTTTTAAAATTATTTGTATATTTAGAAACGCATATATTCCCAAAATACTTGACATTGTTCCTGTTCTCCCAAACTTAATTTCTTTCATCACACAAAACCTCTCAGAATATTTTCTTTTCTTTTCTTGTGGTAACAAAGACAAAAACAATGTAGCAACAATATTTCTTTAAATCATCCCATTATAATTAGGGTATAAATCTCCATAAAGAAACATATGCTGTCTATAATAGTGAGTTATAACTAAGATAAACATATTTATAGAGAGAAGTAGACATAGAGATATCTGTCTGCAACAAATATAGTGAAGATGTATATTCAAGAAAGTACTACACATGCCTGAAAAATACTTCTCTGTTGTATTATAGCTGGTTACTGCACATCCTTTTACAATGCTGAACTTACTGGATCAGAAGTAGCTCCAAATGAGCAGTTTTCAGCATCAGTAGATAGGTCTTTGATGTTTCACAGCTTTGGTTTGTTTTGTTTTCCCCTTGGTTATTTTTGCTTTGCTTGGGGAGTGGGGGTGGGTTATGTCTAAATATGCAAAATGTATCCCTTTATATGCAAGAGCAGTCATACCTCTGAGATACTAGACTACCTCTCAGTGACCTTACAATCTTCCTTTGAAATTTCCAACAATAGGTGCATATTTAAAATGCAATGTCAAACAAAACCTGTTGACTTTACAAATATGTAGATTTTATGTCCAAAGGAGTAACTTTTACCAACACAATAATTTAAACACTATTATTTCAGTATGAGGACTCTTTTAAGCAGAATAATTGGCATCAATAGCACTTACCTGATTGTGTGGAAGAGAGGTTATACAGCTCTTTTCCATTTCAAAACCATGCAATAGCCATTTTAAAAAAATAATGCAATGTTTGAAATTTATGAAAATTAGGTTTTACTGATAATGTTTTTTAAGAGGCTTCTAGACAGAAATAGAGCAATTTGTTACATTGTGGTTAAAAGAAATGTGCCATAAATAATTATTGATAGAGAGATAGTGCATACAGACCAGGAGGTTTAGGTCAGTTGATATGTTAATTAAGTAATGAGTATTGCATTCCATTGTGAAAAAAATGTCAAGCCTCTTTTCACTAAGAGAAATCAGCTACATGACTATCAGACTCTCACCAGCCTACTGAAAGGACTTAAAGAAATCAATATCACACAGAAAGATGGATCGAGCATGAATCAATGTGGCTAGCACATAACCAAACAGACATGGAATTAAACAAGAAAAAAAAAAAACCCAAAAAAACAAACCAAACCAAAACTAAACCAAACGAAACCAACAAAGATTGTCGCTTAACCTGTTTTGTCAGAGCTGGTATTGATGGTATTGGTAGTGATGGAAGTGAAGGTAGTCTTTGCGCTGTCCTTGGTAGTAACAGATTTCTGCTTATTTTTCATGGCTTCCAGTGCTTTGAGCTTCTTGGCATGTTTAGTGCCTTTGTAGTGGGCCGCAGCCTGGCTCTACAAAGGAGAACAAAATGAACCATGCAATCAGGCTCATTTCTAAACTGGCATTCTCTGTATTAGTACAAATACAGACTACCTTTCAATAATGGGTACCACTTACATTATCCAAGTTGTGACTAAACAGGAAATTATAATTGAGAATGATGCTTGGAAAACAATGGGAAAAGTACTAGAGCAACGCAAATTCAATAAATACAGTATATTACTGTATAACAGTAGATTACTTTCAGGCCAAAACTAGGTTGTTTTAGTCTACCTTGCTACCATTAGTTTTTATATTGAGATTTATGTTGCTTTCACATGAAAAAAAATAATTCTCAGGCAACGGGGAGGATTGTGCTCTCCTCCTGGTAGCTTTGTACTTTCCCTGTTTCTATTTCAAACTAGATTTTTTTTCAAAGCTTCCTTTCCAAAGAACAGTTTACTAGTAATAGTGGTATCAGCAACTTCTCAGCAAAGACTGACTGTAAAAAAACAAACCAAAAATACCCCAGCCCAAAACTAAAGCCCAAACAAAAGAAAGCAAAATATAAAACACACCCTTCAAAGCCCATCACCAAAGACTTAACTGAATGTGAGGCAGATGTGTAATTATCTGGGTTTTTTTTTTTAAAAAAAAGAGGATTACTTTTGTTCACCTGCTACAAAAGGTAGTGTTTGAAATTCAAAGCCAGGAGCGTTCATTCAAAGGATAAAGCTCCCACAAATCCTGTCACAGTCCCAAATATACTTTGGTTACTTCATATTGTTAATCTAAAATAGATTTGCCTATGTTCTGCTATTAAAATTCATGCATTACATTGCAAATCACTTTATTATTTCAAGAGTTATTACCAAATTTATTCATTTAATATATGTGAAAATATATTTTAGGAATAGTATTTGAACTATTAGATTAAACTTTATACAAAAATCACTGGAATTTGGATTAATATTGGGAGTTTATTTCTTCACTAATTATTTAAAGCTTTATAAGAAAGACAGTCTTTCAGTTGATAAGTTGACAATATGAAAAATTGTTTATATCTTTCCTTTTGAACTCCAAACTTTATGGAAAGTAGGTCCCTTATTACTTGAAAGAGAAGTTAAGACTTCAGAAATGTAGTCAAAATTTAGCTATGACAGCAATGAAATAAACAAAAAGCAACAACTCTGGGTCAGCTCAAGGACCCATAAAGGTCAGTATTTTCTTTTTAGAAAACATGAAACAATAGAAGATACTTAGAACATAAAAAAGGTAAATGCTTTCTATTGTGGAATCAAAAGAATCAAAACATATATGGAATTTAGTGGCTACAAAACTGAAGTATCAAATGGGATAAAAAGACACAGTCATTCCAATAACTAAGTTGCTCATGCAGGTAGAAGAATCCTGTGTTATCTGGAATTTATTAGTCATTAGACCCTTATTTAATGCTATTTATTGTGCTGAATTTTGGAGAGAGAGTTCTGGTGACTAACTATCACTCTAAGGATGCATAGAGGGAACTATGACTTTCAGCTTACATGAAAAGTCTTGATTCCTTCCAGATGCCTGAGATTTGAAAAGCATAAGGTGAGTAGGACTGAAGTGGGAGACCTTGTCTAAAATCAATTAACAATATATGTGTAAGTGTATGCATGCATAGATACACACACACACACACACACACTCTCTTGGATATTGAGATGCATCATTCAGTTTGGTTGAAACGCCTTTTTCTCTATAGCTAAAATAATGTAAATATTGTATTAGGTACCCTTATTGAAAGAACACTGGACAGTGAAGTTTTTAATTAGAAACAACTTGAACAGAAACAGCACAATCATGCACCTTTAACAATTCTCAACACATAACATTGAGACATACTGTAAGCCAAATACAAACAGTCAGAGGATGTCAATTATAATCAAACCAAAAGACCAGTGTTAAATTACAATGACGCATTAAAAATGACATAATACTGTACACCTTCGTGTTGCTGTCATCTCAACTATCTTTAGAGTTTCTAGTCAAATTTAATCATCAGTCAGCTTCAGAGTCTGACTGCACTTTTTTTCCTTAACTAACAGTGTCTCTAGTCAAGCATCTGGAACATATTCATAACATGGTTCTTAATACTGAATTATGAATGCTGATATTAGTTGGACACAAATCTTGACTTTCTTCACAGAATTGTTGGCAGAGAACCCCAAGTTTAATTCTTCTGCATCCACAGCTCTCTCCAAATTCTCACAGCTATAGTTCCAGAAACCTAATCTCAAGTTGTATATTGGATACTGAAGGAATATATAATGAATGTAGAAATTGTGACCTTTTCACTGCTCTGAAATATATGAATGAAATTGCTCTAAAGTAGAAACATATTGCTCAAATTTACAGGTACGATGGCTGTTAGGCAGAGTTGTCCATAACTCATGCCCACAGAGTGCTGCCAGTTTGCCCAGCCTCTACTTAAATAAGATCTTCAAGTCTTTTTATTTCAAAGTTTAAATCTCCTTCCTCTGCAGGGACATTAAAACATCTGAGCTTGTTTCAATATAACTGTAGCTGGCATGTTAACGGGAGTTCTATGTGAGAGCAAACAGATTGCTCCTAAGCATTTAACCAGCTCCAAATTAGATTATGCTGAACTTTTACAGCTGAACTGGAACCCTAATTAAAACAACAACAACAAAAAAAAAAAAAAGAAGAAAAGAAGAAAAAAAAAAGGAAAAAAAAAGAGATCTGTCATTATCTTTCCTTGCAGGACTAAGATGTAGGAGATGCAAAAATATCCATAAATGTATTTTTCAGCAAACCAACATAAAAGATGGAACCTCACTGAATTATTTCTTGCAGCTATAAGAGGACCAAATTCATGCTTACTGCTAAATGGCTTTTACTTGTAGCCTATAAAATTTATTGCTTAAAGAGTATTTACTTGTAGGATGAATAAAAAACAAGATAGATCATAAAATATAATTATTCCCAGCTTTCATGCCAAATTATGCAATAATAGGAGAGAGCAGAAGAGTGAAAAACAAGTTATTACTAGTTTTTGCTACTAACCATGATGCTTAACTGAGTGAAGAGGCTGTACCCTTTCAGAAAGGTGAGAAGGGTCTCCTTCTGGAACCCTTTTACAAAAGAATATATTAAAATAATACTTTAGGAAAGAGCTTACTTTCTTCCTTCATCAGTTTCCATGTTTCATACACACAATTAATTCTAGCACTGCAGAGACAAGTCACTGTCAGCTAATGTCAGTGATGAAGCATGAGAAATATGTGAAATATTGCTGGTGTCATGATATAGAGAACTTTAGGGAACTATATCCATTCTTGAAAAAGATGTCCAACATGAAAGTAAAAAAAGTCATTATTTAATATTCATAATAAACATTTTATTATTATTTATCATTACAATATATAGTTATTTAATATATAAATAATATGAAATGTAGTAATAAATTATAGAACTAATATAATTATATCAATATATAATGTAGTTATAATAATTTTTATTACTAATTTGCATCTAAATTGAAAACTCAAGGATCCTTAAATAAATTTTGAGGACCTGATCCTGAAAATTACATGTAGACAAATTTTGGTCTGTGGGAACTACTTCAATGAAGTGGCAAGATCTCTGCTAACAAATCACTTTTCAATGTTATTTGTAATGACTTCTTGCTTATTTGAGAAGTAGAAGTCAATTTAACCATCTCCTAATATTTTCCTCTGGTTCCATGTACCAGTGTTGAATAATTAGGGACCTTTCTAACCCTTACATTTTCTAACCTTGACAAATTGCTCAAATATAAAAAAGGATTTGTCTATAAAATCTGTCTGTATATTTATGTTATAACCACACAGATAAGCATACTATAAAATAATAAAAAATTCTGTATGCAGATGTGAACAGTTAGAAAACAGAGCCATAGTATAAAAACTCTGCTCTATTTTCTTAGCTTAAATGCAGTCTTGTACCACAATCACCATCAGGACACCATATTACCAAGCAAATTGAAATGTGTAAAATACACTGAGAAAGATGAACTATTTTAAACAATCCAGACAGTATTCTCTTACAATTACAGTCAATGTATCTATATGGCAGCCTTCAAAATAAGTTTGTCTGCCTGACTAATGTTCTTCACTGGATTATATGTCTTCTCACTTCTGTTATTTAGGCAGTGGTCCAACAAAAACATTGTGCTTAGTTTTTGCTTTGAGACAAAAAACAGGTCTCGTCCTATTCTCAGAGAGTTTTTGCAGCACTGCATCTTCTTCATATCCCTCCTGATCCACCTCATATTACCATTCTTCTTACAGATTGTTTTCCTGCCTTAATCACTCCCTCTGGGCAACGCCTTCATAATGAAAGCCAGCTCAAATAAAAGAAACCTTTTGCAAAAGGTGTACTGAATATGTTCCACTGATTCTTCCTTGGAAAATTAAATCCAACTATCTTGCGTTATGTCTTTCTCATTTCACAATGCATTTTGAAAGATGTTTATTGTGGAGAGTGTTCTCCTCCATGCTTTTATCTGGCTAACTATTAGCAAGGCTGCAGTTGTCTGCACCCCAAGAAAGCACAAAACTGAGAGTACTGAGAGTGCTGGACAGACTATTCTGTCTGTCTGGGACTTCAGCAGTTCATGGCTATTTTTTTTTTTTCTTTTACCACCAGCTACTGGATGATACTCTCACCTCTGCTATTATTCATAATACAAAAGTAGTAATTTTGGCTAATACATCTGCAAATGATGTCAGGATTCTCTAGAACAAAAAGCTCTGAAACAACAAGAAAAAAAAAATTTAGATTCCCAGATCAAACTAATACTGTCAGTGAGCTGGACATGGAAAGCAATAATACATAACTGCATAAGCCAAGAAGGCTTCTGTCTCTGATGAAGTCAGGGAAATTGCTTATGAGATGTCTGTCATACATTACCATAATCTCTGAGTACAAATATTTTTCTATAGTTGGGCTGTCAATAAGTATTTGAAAAATTATTTTACTTATGTCC